GAATATTTTCTGCTGTTTTTTTGGTTTTTTTTTCCTTGCAGCTGCGTTGGAAATTAAGATTAAATTGATTTTTTTCCTTGATTTTTCTAAGGAATTTTTCATATGATTTGAGATTCCTTTAAAAATTCCTGAATTGCTGGGGAACAGGGAATTCATTTGTGTTCAGCCTCAAATGGAAAATAAAAAATAAAAACAAAAAAATTCCTCCTAATCTGGAATTATCCCTGACTTGTGGAAAAGGGAATTTTATACCTGGAGTTCCAGCACAGCTAAAATTCAAATTTTATTTACCTTAGTGCTTTATTTATACATTGAATTATGATTTATAAAGATATTTGAATTATATTTCTAATATTTAGAAATGATTTATAAATGTGTTTTCTGTATCAGCGAAATAATTTGATTTTTATAGCAAAAATAATTTATTTTCTTTTTTTTGTTTGTTTTTTTTGTTCTTTTTTTTTAGCCTTCTGTTGAGTCTTCAAGCCCAGGTAAATATTTTTAATAATTTCCAAAGTTGTTTTTTTTTTTTTTTTTGGGGTATCCTATGAATGGAAAAACTCCTTCAACTTGGAAGTTTTATTTCATTCAGAGAAATAATTAATGAATTTATAATTAAATTTCAGAGTCACTCGTCCCTGTCACATCCTGAGAGTTGGGGGGCAAGGGTTGGAAAATGGAATTAAAAATTCCATTGAAATGGGGAAAAAGGGGGAAAAGATGAGCAAGGTTGGGATTGAAAATCAGGAAAAAAAACAAAATATGAACGGGAAAAAAACCAAAATATGAACAGGAAAAAACCAAAATATGAACAGGAAAAAAACAAAATATGAACAGGAAAAAAACCAAAATATGAACAGGAAAAAAACCAAAATATGAACAGGAAAAAAAGCAAAATATGAACAGGAAAAAAACCAAAATATGAACCAGGGCTGGAATTAAAAATCAGGAAAAAAGGGAAAAAAATCTGAGCAGGGTTTGGATTAAAAATTGGAGAAAAAGAGAAAATTTGAACGAGGCTGGGATTAAAAATTGTATTTGATGAGTTTTTAATTGATCAGTTTTTATTTGATGAGTTTATAATTGATCAGTTTTAATTTGATTTTGATGAATTTTTATTTGATGAGTTTTGATTGATGAGTTTTTATTTGATGAATTTTGATTTGATGAGGTTTTATTTGATGAGGTTTTATTTGATGAATTTTTAATTGATGAGTTTTTAATTGATGAATTTTTAATTGATGAATTTTTAATTGATGAGCTTCTATTTGATGAGTTTTTAATTGATGAGTTTTTAACTGATGAGTTTTTATTTGGTGAGTTTTAATTTGATTTTGATCAGTTTTTACTTGATGAGTTTTTATTTGAT